AAACTGTACTGTGCCTTCTTGTTAATCAGCAGATTCAGAAAAGTTGTTGCTACTCAGCTGGATTATTAACACCAACTTCCACTTACAGGTTCAGCTGTGGCAAGCCACAGAAGTCAGTCAGAACAGTGCTCTTTAAGACATGGTCACTGGTGATGTTGTTTCTTGCTGTTTCAGTGATGTCTGCAGGACAGTCAGTTCCAGCTGGTTCAAACCCTCACTGCTACTGGGTTCTGAGTACCTCAAGACTGACACCAGTGTGTCTTGTTGATGCAGATTGTTATAGTAGCAGCTTAAACAATGAATATCTGAGTATGAGGCGATCCTGTAGGTCTGAATCTAATGTGAATGTCTTTATTTCTGTTGGCTGAGAAAGCACCCTGTAGCTATTTCTTTCTTCTTTGGTTTTTGTCAAATATTGCATTATTCCTGAGTTTTAAGAAAGAATTATTCACATTTTTATGCTGCACATTGTATTAAACAGATGTCTTATTTGCCTCTTCACTGAACGAAACAGGACTGGTCTTCTTACTTACATGGAACTTTTCCGTTTTATCAGAAATGTCCTGGCCCAGATCAAGGTCCTGTCATGTGTGAAGTTTGCCACAGACAGGAAGGAGATAAAGCTTCCAAGTCTGCTGGCTAGAGCAGTTGCCATGCCTGTAAGGTACTGTTTATAAACAGAAAGACAGATAGCTCATAAGACTTGCTATTGCAAGTCCTACAAAGTTTGTTCCTTCTGTGGATTTTGTCTGACAGTTATAAAATTATTTTTATGTGGGTTTTTTGCATAATTAAATACTTCACTGTATAATACTAGTCAAGTGGGAGCTGTGGCAATGAAAGGTTCATGATGCCAAAGGGTTTTCACAGTGCTGATGCAGCCAACTCCAAAAGGCTGTGGAAACAGACTCCTCCACAGTGCAGTTCAGTTCAGCCTCTCTGTATGCTGCAGGCACTGCAGACAACATTAGCTTATAAATATTTGAGAAGGCCAGGTTGGATGGAGAAATATGTTAGCTCCTTCAGCAGCCAGATGTGTTGTCCAGAAGCACAAGCCATTAGCAAATGCTGTTCAGCTATTGGCAGACAAATTCCTTTCAACACCTAGGGAGCATTACACTGAGAGAGTCCCAGCCTTCCATGACAAGTGTTTGCCTTGTCCTTGGCAAAAACGAAAACAGTAAAATAATGAGCCAAAAGCTCTTCAGGGAACTGCCTGCCATCCCTCCAACCCCAACAAAGGAGTCTTTCAGCTGGCTTTGAAATGAGCGATATAAGCAGGGCATCACAAGGACTAAGATGCTACTTTTAAATACTTCACTGCTCATGAGCTCTAGTCTGCTCCAAATGAAATATTAACTCATTAGCTTAAACCATCATGCGAATGGGACCAGGCTGTAGAGGTGGTGTTCTAAATAAATGCATTTTAATTCTCAAGAGTGATGTGAGATGACTTGAGAATATAAATACATTCAGTTGTGACAACTTGGCTGATAAGCAGTAACTCATCAATTGATGATAACTTGCATACAGTCTCACACCCCTTCCTTTCTGACAATTTTACAAGTACTAACTTTAGCACCTTCTCCTCAATGGTGATGGAACCTGAAAGGCTCCTGTAAGATGGGTTTTCTTAGGTGATAGGCAGAGAAACTAGGTCAGGCATAACAAGAGATTTCCGTCTGTCAATGCCACTTTGGTTACGGTGGGGTATGGAACTGCATCCCTCTTCCTTTCCCTCTAATACTCAGCTCCACATACTTGCAGACTGTTAACCAACTGCTCTTCTTCTGTTTGGGGACTACAGTTCAGGGATGAAAGTACTATCCCCAAATAGTATTCATCCAACATAAAAGTTTAGCAACCTGATGGGCTATAGCTAAGAATATTTTTTCACAAGAGATGCTTTGTCCTAGTAATTTGTCTTGGAAGGTTCATGGGTGTGTCTGAGTAGTGTATGCAGAGGCAAATTTGTAGATCAGGAGTGGACAATGCTCCACAGTTCCCAGGAAAGGAAGACTGAATCTGATAAGCATGAGAGGTTAAGAGTTGGTCTCTTCTACCTGGAAAGTTGTTGCATAGTTTCAAAATTCAGCAGTGTCTTGGTGAATCTCACTGAAGTTGCTCAGCTAATACTGAAAGCAGAAGTTCCTGACTTTGTTGGAAAATATGTTTTCATTGAGAGAGGGTCAAGAAATTAAGAGACACAGAAAACTGTAACATGCTGTTTCCTGCAGAATCCATCTTACATTTTCTGGACCAAGTCTGTCCCTTTCAATTTTTTAATTCTTAGACAGTCTGTCATATTCAGAAAATAAGCCATGATATCAAGCTATTTATTTTTCTCTTATTATCTGCACCCTCAGATATTCAAGTTGATCAGTTTCAGCTTAATAAAATAATAATAATTTTAAAAAATTAAAATAAATATTTATGCCACAAATGTAGACAAAAAACAATTCTGGTTGATCTAATCAAAACATAGCCATCAATGAAATGGTTTTAGCATCTATCTCCTAGGAACGGAAGCAGTTAAAAACATTAAGAATGTTTAGTGATTAAGTTTTATAAAGAACAGGGAAGATTAACGGTACATTTCTAATCATCTGATATTTTAACTTAAAGATGGGCAGCAGCTGGGAGATGTTACTGACTCGGATTCTGCAGTTTCTTGCTGACATTCTCTGGGCTATAAAATAAAGGAGAAAGGGTCCAGTGAGCATGAGAGTCTCCTCTGCTCTTCAAACCATACAAAAAATAGCATGTATGGAAATGAATGGTTTCTTTTCAAATACAATCAACTTCTTAGTGTAGCCATGAGATGTCAGCAGAGACCGCTGTTTCTGTGCAAACCGGTACAAAACAGAAAAGTTCTCACAAGTCAGAGCATTCAAACTCTGATTATAAACAATACAAACACCAAAGTGTATATACTGCCACTGCTAATAGGCATCCAAAAATTGAATGTGACAGTGACAGTCTGCAGAAAGGGTTGGCAAAAAGGAAAGGAAAAGTTTGAAGGGCTACTTAGGGTTAAAGCCAATGTGTAAAATGTTGCAGAAAGGTATTACAGTAAAACAGCACTGTAATGTTTTAGTAAAAGTAAAACGATCTAATTTTTTGTAACTAATTAGAATGCAATCTAGTAGTTAAAGATCTGTAACCTAAACCAGGGATCGCTAAACTCGGTAGGTTGAACCTGGCCTTCAACGTAGTTTTGTCTGGCCTCCAAGAACCAAATTCCCGTGAGCTTGCAATTATGGGCTAACTGTGCCCACTTAGGAAACAAGCTGAGAGTACGGAGGCACAGGGGAGTCTCTCTTGAGCACGGTTATACCGAATCTGGGGACAGTTTCATTCTCTAGTACAATGCCAGAGCATTCGTTCTAACGTTCTAATTGCCCAGAGCTGGGGCAATTTAGTCTGTTAATATGAAAATGACAGTCAGGAGGCCAAGGGACATGTGTTTTTTTCTGGTCTATCTTGGCTAACAATGAACTACTTCACTGCAAGGAATTTACAAAATGAGCCAGAGAAAAGGATATCCGTATTTATGAAGTAGGCTCAGATTTTTTAGATTTTGTTTTTCAGTTTCACATAGTTTTGAGACCATTGGATTTCATTTGCAAAACAATGCAAATCAAGTGATAAAGTTGGAGGCCAAGATTACCTGGAGTCAAACAAGATTGGGAAAATCTAAGTCTTTTGGATCTATCTCATGGGCCATCCTTTATCAGCTTCAGTGGGCAGGTACTCCATACCTTGTTGTGGTCACCTGAGTGGAGAGGTTCTGGGCAGATTCTGGCTCTCTCCCCCTGACCAACCAGGCAGGTTGGTGTTTTAAATTTGGAAAGACGAAATTAAGAATCACACATATCTGCATGATAAAGTATAAATAAAGTATATATTTATCAGAAAAAATGATATCTGATAAAGTCAGTCAGGTCTATTGGCTTTGGATCAGGGATCAACAAATGCATCGAGCTACTTGTATTGAAGCTGTGTCTGAACCAATGATGTCCCCTTGGTCATCAGAGGAATACAGAGACATCCAGGCTGCTCGGCAGGAGCCAGCTCAGGAACAGCACAGACCCAGACTGAATCCTTGTCGTTTCATATCTACATTATATTAACCAGCATCCCCTCTAAATATCTTGTACACCTGCAGGTTTTTTTACCCTCAAAGATTCCTATTACCTCCCCTATCCTTCTCTGCCATGCCTTGAGGAAACCTTTACATTAGTGACTAGTATTGGCCAGTAGCCCTGTGCACTCCGCTCGCTCAAACAGTACTGCTCTGCTCAGTATATCTGCTTTTCTTTAGTTTAAATGTGGCCAATTACCCACGAGTTTGCAATTCACCAGTAAGTAATGGGAACAGTCAATGTTCTCATCTCGGTAGTGCATTTTGGGGAAAATACAGCAAATAACTGGGTATTAAATAAACATCAGTTTCAGTAAGAGGAAGAAGCTGACAAGGTCACTTGTATCGAATTGCATAAAGACCTTTCCAGGATGTTTTCTCTTTCTAGCATAACTCTTCAAAATGTTCACGACTTATTTGTCTATTCCAAACCATCTTTTTTCCTTTGTATTCCGAAGGAATTTCGGAGAAATTCAGGGATTATACAAATATTCAGGAACAGAAGATACTCTTTATTACCATTGTGCTAGATACTGAAGGAAGCCAGAATGAGAAATTTAGGAAAGCCATGGAAATCAGAATTGCTCTAATTCAATAACAGATTCATTGGCTTTCTAGATTAGAAAGCCAATCTAATCTTTCTAGATTAGATTTGATCACTTCAGTATTTTCTATTGTAGCTGCATAACTATCTTATAAATACCTACCACGTGTGACACAGGCACTTCAAAAGCATCATATAAACTGTAGAACAGATCTGCAGAAAAAGTTAAAGAAAAATATATATCTTAGTTCTTCCATGTCTTTGTAAATAATTCCCAGCTCCGAGATGTCATTTTATTAAATTTTACAACGTTCAAAACCACTGTAAAATAACATCTGTAATAAATACTCAAAAAATAACTCAGATGATATTTTACTATTACAGCTTACAGTAATGTCTGAGTACATTATACAAATTGTATTATAAATAGCTTCACCAGCACCAAAACATAGAAATATTACATTTTACATAATTCACTTAAGCACATGGAATTTTGGCTACAATGGACCTTTTTCTTGCTCTTCTTATTGAGCTTTAACTTGTAAAATGACTCAATTACACAGTCCAAATATAAGGCAACATGGAAATTATGTGAAAACCAATGTGTGAGCAAGTGAGAATTACAAAATTTTACTGGCTATTCACAGAATTTCTACTCCTCAGTCTATTCAGGATTTCTAACCTTATTTCATTCTGATAACAAGCAAGGTCTGCCAACTAAGGTCTTAGACTGGGATTCAGAAACTCTGGTTTCATGTGACCTTGGGCAGTTTTTCTGTCTAAGTTCTCCATTCACAGCATGGTAGTAATAGCGTTTCCTTGTATCTCCAAAGGCTTTAAGCTCTAGGAAGCTCCCTGCCACTATTCTTTGTAAAGTAATTGGTACAGTGGGACCAAGATCAGAGCTGAGCTCAATAAGAGTAAATGTGCCATCTTTAACACAAGACACAATGATAAAATTGTTCTGATATTTAACAGAGGTAGGTAAATGATGCCCTTGGCACTACTGGAGGAAGTACAAGGGACCTGCCCAATGACAGTGTGCCTTGCTGACACAGCTCCTGAGTCACAGTCTTGAACTGTAATATGCTGAAGTCCTCCAGAAATACATGATCTAACAAAAATGTAGTGGAGCTCTCAACACAGCTTATTTAGTCTTATTAAATCATTATTCAAAGCCACAGCAGCCAGGGGAAAATTTCTTCATTCACTTCAGTAAATTTTCTCTTAAATACTATACCCTACAGGAAAAATTAATAAAGAAAACAATTGATTACTTGGTATCTAGCATGAAATTCAGGTATCCTGTGTGTCCAGTTTTACTCAGCAGTTTTCAGCACACTTAAACATATGCTAGCACAAAACATGTTACTGATTTCATGAAAAGGAAGCATTGTCAAAATTGCTAAGTAAAATCTGGGAAGTGCATCAGATACACCTTCTGCATTACAGAATTGAAAAAGCATCTAGCAATAAGATGAAAGAGGTAAGAGTGTAGCCTGAGCATCTGATAGATTGAGGCTGGCTACAGTAGTTAGTTAAAACATCTGGAAAAGCAGCTGTATCTTTCTCTTGCAGTGCACTCACCATTGCACTGCACTTGAGAACTTCACTATCATAGTCACTACCATCTGCCGGATAACTAGTATCAATTTATTCACAGTATCTGGGCCTTATATCCTTTCATTTTATCACAGCACCAAAGCTCAGGTTTAGAAAATTACTCATTTCTTTGTTTTCACCCTGTAAGAAATGATTTTAGGAAAGAGAACGTGATGCTGTGTCTGTCCTTAGACATTACACATAGATGGCATGGATTAGGCTTCTGGGGTTCTCTGGTTTCTCAAGTCAACCTATTTTTGTGTGCTATCACAAAGAAAGTGTGATTGTGGTACAGGAGAGAGGAGGGCCTCTTTGTGGAGACATGAGAGAAAAGAAAGATCCTATAAATACAGAAGGTGTACACCAGAGCAAAGATTAATCTTCACCTCACTAGATGTCCTAGCCATGACCTAGTGCTGGGGATTATCACTGGAGTTCTTAAAATATTCTGAAGTTCTTCCTATTATGAATCTTTACCTTTGATTTGACTTCATGCAATAAAACCATGTTGGGTATGCAATTTACGCCTCACGCTCTCTCCCTGGGTTCAGGTGCATAGATACCATATGTCCCTACGTGCCTCCGAAGGCAGAAGGACCAAAGGAAGAAAGCATTACCTACCACAAAGGAGCCATCTCAGAGCAGCTCTGCTGGCAGAGGCTGCCATCGTGACTGAAATCCTAGGCATACTTATTAGGAGTCTCAGTAGAGAAACCAAAATGCTAAGCAGACCATGCAGACTGGCCTGCAAGGTATTCTGAGGCATTTTGCTGGGACAGTAGAAAGCAGAAAAGAAAGCATGAAGTCTGCCTTGTTCTAAGCAATGAATGGAGATGTCTTATGAGCTGCCAGCTGAAATTATTTTGGAAACACTAACACTGCAGTGTTCTTTCTTCTTAAGTCACAAGCGTTTCCTTATTGACAACACTTGAAATGTTTTACTGATTTATCAGAATTTTTGTGTTTTGTAGCTAACTGTGAGGAACAGGGTTTATGGCAGCTGTCAAGGTACTGAGTCACAGCCTTGCCACTTTTATTACCCCTAGTGACTGGATGGACCAAGCAATCCACATTTCTAGGCTTTGCAGGGTTCTGTTGTTTCAATGATACCTGTTGTTCATAACGCCTGTTCACGTCGCCGTTTCACACCCACAGTTCTTGCTGCCAGGAGAAACACAGCCCCAGTGAGCACTTCTGCCACAAAGGAGATCCAGACTAGTGCCAGCGACCAGCCAAACCTGATGTCAATTTCTACCAGGAGATCCTTACTCCTCAGGAGACAGACAGCCTCTTCAAAGGCAGCAGCGGAATATGCAATATAGACACTGATCCCAGTAAGTGTAATAAGAGCTGGGAAAGAAAAAACATATTCAGCTAGTTAGTATCCACTGCAGAAATTAAAAATAATTAATTTGGTATCACTTAGGGCTTCTATGTCACTCCTTCCTATCTTCCCAGGCCAGACTGCTGGTTAGCTTCTGTTTACCTTTGAAATCTAGTTGAGACTATTTTTTGGGGAAGGGTGAGAGGAAAGTAAAGGGAAGGTTGTTTCTGTCCATTGAATTTAATGTGTTCTCACTGTTAAATACTGAATCAAAGTGTATAACAGCAAGCCTCTCACAATAAAAATCTAGTCATGTCTTATACAGATATCTAATGCACGTACATCTCGGTTCTCAATACTGTATTATAATACATCCTGATTTCTCACTGCTGTTGTCTAACTATATGCCAGAAAGCTCATGGAAACAGAGATTCTTGCATTTCAGGTCAATGTCCCGAATTTAGACTGATTTCTAATTTTGAGTGTTTTAAGTTGTGTGTGTTCAATGTAAATGTGTTGGTCTTTACTGTCACCTCCCAGCAAGTGTTATGGAGTCATGACTATTCCTCACTTCCAAATAATTGACGTCTTTGGAGCAGACTAAAAATAAATTAATAAAGGCACTCAAACAAGAACTCAGATGTTTTCTGCATGAAAGGACTGTACAGAAGCTAGGGAATGGCACATCTAGCACAAGTACGTGCTACATCCTGGGCCTGGCATCTATGTTGCTCAGAGGACATATACTAACTTATGGCTTTACTGGATCAGTGCCAGGAAAGATGCAACAGAAAGGCCCTGGATTAAAGGACCATAGCCCAGGGAAAGTAGACACTTACTGGGACACTGGTATGACAAGATAGTGTCTTATCTGATTCCAAGGGAGAAAAATTTTGCTCTGGCTTTCTGTTAAATCACAGTGTAAGTCTAGATGAATCTGCATTTTTTGCCAGAAGGAAAAGTTTGAGTAAAGACAAACCAAGACAGAAGTGTATTGGGTTTTCCAACCCAATTCAAAATTCACACTCATATTCCTGATTTTAACCATGCCATGATGCCTGTACCTTATTCTAGTACTCTGCAAGGGCGGGGGGAACCCCACTTCTCTATACCTTTTGCCAGCAGAAATGGAAATGACTGTTTTGTTGACATTTTCAACAAGGTATGCTGAGTTCTGTGATCCCCCTTAAATGTAGCCACATCTCAAAAAATGGGGAAGCATGTATGATGTCCTGGAATGTGGAACATAGTAGTTCTGCTATTTTCCAAAACACTCAGGTTTCTGGAATTGCATCAGAAAATATTTATTTCTTCTGACAGAACTATCAATACCGAACTTGGTGAACTGGAATATCCTATAAAACTGCGTGCCTGTTACATGCATCAAGCCTCAGTGCAGCTGAAACAGCTGAACAATACTTCCTGAGCAGGAGGAGAGTCTAGTGTCACACCAAAGGCCACCCTGCAGTCTGTTCACGCTGTCCTGGGAAACAGCACTACTTGCATCTTCAGAACATATTCAAGCACCCCTCTCCTAATACTGTCTTTGTGTTTCTTTTCCCTCTTTGGAACCCCAAGTGTTCTAGAGAGGCCCAGTACTCCACTCCTCAGCACGATAATCAGGCTTTGCACTTCACAGCTTTTCATCTTTCACTTACTATTTGGAGTAGTTTTCAAATAGCCTAAGCCTTTTTAGTGAATACAGCTTTTTGATGTTCGAAGGAAACAGAATTTACTTTTCTCTTTTTTTTTTTTTTTAATCCCAGAAGAAAAGCATAACGGGGGATGGTTGGTCTTCATGAGAGCTTTTCAGACTAAAAAGGTCAGATAGCAGCATTTGCTTCCAGCAATCTCTTAGCATCCTCTTGTTAGAAACAGGGCTGTATGATCATATGATGATACCCAATATTGAGGATCCCCTTTTCTGTTGGGGAAAATTTCTGTTTCAAATTACATTGTGGAAGAGCACTGAAAATCTATTTGGAGAAGAAAATGGAGATGGATTTAAAACCAGTTTTCCTACTTCAATAGAATGTTTTTAGTTTTAATTCATAAATCACTTTCTAAAACACTGAGGTTTCTAGAGAGGCCCAGTACTCCACTCCTCAGCACGATAATCAGGCTTTGCACTTCACAGCTTTTCATCTTTCACTTACTATTTGGAGTAGTTTTCAAATAGCCTAAGCCTTTTTAGTGAATACAGCTTTTTGATGTTCGAAGGAAACAGAATTTTCTTTTCTCTTTTTTTTTTTTTTTAATCCCAGAAGAAAAGCATAACGGGGGATGGTTGGTCTTCATGAGAGCTTTTCAGACTAAAAAGGTCAGATAGCAGCATTTGCTTCCAGCAATCTCTTAGCATCCTCTTGTTAGAAACAGGGCTGTATGATCATATGATGATACCCAATATTGAGGATCCCCTTTTCTGTTGGGGAAAATTTCTGTTTCAAATTACATTGTGGAAGAGCACTGAAAATCTATTTGGAGAAGAAAATGGAGATGGATTTAAAACCAGTTTTCCTACTTCAATAGAATGTTTTTAGTTTTAATTCATAAATCACTTTCTAAAACACTGAGGTTTTGGTTACAGCAAAAATAATAGAAAACAAAATGTAAAAGAATTTTACTACCTTTAAATTGAAATGTTACACTCCAACATAACTCTTTGTTAACTCCAAACCCCAAAATAACTCTTTGGGGTTTCCTTTTGTGACCCACAGTTGGGGAACACCACTGTAGTTCAAAACTAGCAACACAGCTAGCCCAGGAAGGCCTAGAAAAACCCTTTTCAGGAGCTCAATGCAAATGCCTTTGAAAAAATGTCACTTTTCTTAATAGTTGTAAGATCTGTGCAAGGATATTGAACCCTATGCTTTACTAATTCCAAAGTCACTTTCCCATTACTCCATTACCCTTTCTGTAAAGAATGTGGGTACTGTACTGAGAAGGTATTAAATCTTTTGTGTTAATGGGCACTGCAAACACATGGTGTTCAAAGTGTGACTCACAAGGATGTATGGTTGTGTGTGATTATTTGACTTTCCTGACTCTAACTGGCAGCTTTCTATTCCAGAATCCCACCAGGAGCCGAGCAGACACCAAGTGAAAAAACACCAGCATTATTCTGAAAGCAAACTCTTGCTTAGCTTTTTTCCCCTGGAAGACAAAGCAACGTTTCCCAGATAGAATATCTTACTATTTGAAACAATTAAGCAGGGAGTTCAATACAGTACCTCCAAAAAGAAAAAGCAGTCCCGTCATTAGAAGCAGTAGGTAGGCCCTGGCAAGAATACTGATGAATCCAGTCATTCCTCCAAAAACCATCAATATGAGGCTAAGGGGCATCAGGATGACAAATGTTCCATGCATGTCTGAAGAAAAATGAAGAATGTTAATATATTAATATTTTATTGTGGTGGTGTACTAATAATTATTGAGTGCAGGGCTTCATTCAGGATCAAAGCTTTATTCTGAGTTGCACAAACAAGGAGGTGGATAATCTCTTAGGTTTTCAGTTTAAGTCAGCAGGACAAGTATATGTTACGGAGAAAAAGGTAACGTACAGAGCAAGCCCTCCACAGCATTACAGCTTGTGTTTCAAACAGAGACCATAAATACAAAGGATATGTCTACACGGATATACTTAAACAATTAAACAGTTCTCAGATATTAAGCCTAGCTGGTGGTGCATTGCATATCAGGTAGTCACTGGCAACCTTAATAAAAAGTAGCCCTGGTTGCCTGAATCATACAGATCACAGTGAGTGGCGTTGTTCTGTTTGGATGGCGACATCCAGCAGATGTTTTCATTAAACAAGTTCTGTTCTGTCACATGTCCTCTGCAGAACTGATCTAGCAAATTGTTGACCTTTTCCTTTGTTGTAGCTGACCATCAACTGGAGGCAAATTTTCCCATCTAGCTCTGATTCTGTGTCTGTCATTGTTTTCTACAGCAGCTTCACTAAGTACATTAACCTACCCTGGTTGCTTCCTCCCATGTTAAATGTATTACATTAGTCTTTCTTGATCCCTGTAACATTTTAATAGCTCTGTAAACAGAGGCTTGCTATATACTTTTTCATATCACACTGTTTTTTCCATCATGAACTATCTTTGTGTCATCGTTCCCTCTTGGGCAATCTATCCACAATATTCAACCCAACCTTTTCTAAAATTATAACTGAAAAAAAGTAATTTCAGCTTCCAGTATCAATTTATTTTATACCAGAGTGAAGTGCAGAGTTACCGAGGAAGGAAAACCTATAATCCATTTTCTGAGGGGCTCTAGGCTTCAGTGTCTCATTTAATTTCACAGAGGAACAACAATACACCATTAGCTGGTTTCCAAGGAAAAGAAGTCACTTAAGAGATCACAGTTCGTGTGTGATCAGATGATCAATTTTTTTAAGTCACTGTAACTGCCCACTGAGTTGGAGGTGCTCCGCTTGCCACTGGCTAAGGATCCAGCTTATCCTCTTCAATATTGTCATAAAGATAAGAGACAACCATGTACGTATCTCTGTTAAGTTCTAGAACTAGTAGGTTAGGAAGAGCCTGCTTGGGATAAGGTAGATACTGTTAATTAGTTTATTTGAGTGGAATGTGGTTTTAAGAAATAATTATTTGGTTAGTGTAGTACAGAACACGCTCACACGAAAAAACCTTGCACATGACAAGGTCTTGGGAGGTGAGTCTGCATGTTCCCACCTATGCTCACATCAGGATCAGTTGAAAGCATTAATTCAGCACTGTGCACTGAAGGGAGCACTTCCTCTCCCTGCCTCTAAAGTTGAGGCTACTTCCTGGGCTCCCCTTCAGCAAAACTGGCCACGGCTGTTGTTGCTGGCTAAGGAACCCAAACCTACAGATAGCAATTTTCAGACACTAATGGTCAAACCACTCTTCAGCTTATTGGATATAAATCAATCTGTCAAATTGTTAAATACCAAGAAGAGAAATAGCCATGGAACTTAGTTCAAGAGTTTTATATAGTTAGAAGTGTTTGTCAGGGATGTGACAGAATAGAGATTTGACACACAATTTAGTTCTCATATTCTAGAGAGGCAGCAGGAACAGGCCAGTTTTCTGCCCTGTTTGTGCTTCCCAAGGGTATTAGGCTTGATTTTGATTCCCCACCATTTTGACATCCGTGTGTCCTCTTAGATTTGGTCTTGCATGTAAGAGGTGAAAAGGCCTTGGGATAAAATTTGATGCAATTAACATTTTAGAAGTAAGACCTGGCTCAGACCTGACTTTGCTGGGAAGGAAGAAACAAAAGCAATCTCATCACTGGGCCTGTGCTTTGTGATTTTCCAGGTGTCCCTCACGAGTAAAAGTTGCTGCTAACAAACTATAGTAGCACTAACGGTTGCTAGTTCTTTGACTTTCCTTTTCATGGTGCGATTTCAGCTACTGAAGCTAGTACTGTGCACTTAGCAAGGAGAAGTGCAGGTAGAAGATAAGGCTCTGAAAGTAACCTTTTGAAGCAAAGGGAAAGCAAATCCATACCAGAGTATTCTCCTGGGGGGTGTCATAGATCATATTAGCACCCCGCGACAGTTGCATGTAACATCAGAATGACTCTGATTTTTATGACCTCTGCAGTAAAAATATAGGTTTTAGAGATACCTCAGCTGAAATCCACAAATCCCACTATGACACACCCTTACTTTTCCTACACATAGATGGGATCACAGTTCTCATGAATCACAGAATGGTTTGGGTTGGAAGGGACCTTAAAGACCATCTATTTCCAACCCTCTGCCATGGGCAGGGACACCTCCCACTAGACCAGGCTGCTCAAAGTCCATTCCAGCCTGGTCTTGAACACCTCCAGGGATGGACCATCCACAACTTTTCTGGGCAACCAGTTCCCGTGTCTCACCACCCTCGCAGTAAAGAATTTCTCCCTAATATCTAATCTAAATCTCCCCTCTTTCAGTTTAAAACCATTACCGCTCATCCTATCACTACACTCCCTGATAAAGAGTCCCTTCCTATTTTTCTTGCAGGCGCCCTTTAAGTACTGGAAAGCTGTGCTAAGGTCTTCCTGAAGCCTTCTGTTCTCCAGGCTGAACAACCTGAACTCTCTCAGCCTGTCCTCATAGCAGAGGTGCTCCAGCCCCCTCATCATCTTCGTGGCCTCCTCTGGACTTGCTGTACTATGTCCATCTTATGTTGAGGGCTGGATGCAGTACTCCAGATCGGGTCTCACCAGCGTGGAGTAGGGGGCAGATTACCCTCCCTCACCCTGCTGGCCATGCTTCTTTTGGTGCAATCCAAGATGCGACTGGCTTTCTGGGCTGCAAGCGCACATTGCTGGGTCATGTGGAGGTTCTCATCAACAAACACCCCCAAGTCCTTCTCAGGGCTGTTCTCCATCTGTTGTCCGCAGAGCCTGGATTTGTGCTTGGGATTGTCCCAACCCACATGCAGGACCTTGCACTTGGCCTTGTTGAACTTCATGAGGTTCAAACGGGTCCACTTCTCAAGCCTGTCCAGGTCCCTCTAGATGGCATCCCTTCCCTCCAGTGTGTCAACCGCTCCACCCAGCTTGGTGTCTTCAGCAAACTTCCTGAGGGCTCACCCAATCCCACTGTCCATGTTGCCGACAAGTATGTTAAACAGCACTGGTCCCCCCCCGTACTGATAGCTGAGGAATGCGACTTGTCACTTGTCTCCCACTTGGACATTGAGCCATTGACTGCAACTCCTTGAGTGAGACCATTCAGTCAATTCCTTATTCACCAAGTGGCCCATCCATCAAACCCATGTCTCTCCACTTTATAAACAAGAATGATGTGCAGGACAATGTCAAAATCACTTGCAGCTTTTTAAAAATCAAATATTTAATGGATTGTATTTGGTTAAACAACACTTTTATCACCTCCAGTGTTCTAGTTCACTGATATCTAATACCCATTTGTCCTTCTATGAAATCTGCAAATGCCTGGAAAACTTATTCTAAAATGCTGCCATGGAAACCACTCGGGAATCTGAATTCATGCCGTCTGGCATATGATATTATGCCATTATATTCCTTGATTAGAGGGACAGAATTAGTTTATAGATGACATGACTTAAAATATCTTTACTGTGTTTCTGTCTTCATTAACCATCTAGAAAGAAGTTAAAACATTAGTTTTGGAGTCATTTCAGTGTTTTTAGGTTGTGTTGAAATACAGATTTATGCATCATATATTATACATAAAGCTGTCTTCATTTTGATGAAATTAATCTAGTATTGAAAAAAGCGCCACAACATAATCATTTTTACAAGAAGATGTATGTGCACTTCCCTGCAAAACAGAGTTCAGTTTGCCACGTCTATTTCTCAGCACTTGAGTGCTCCAACACAAAAGACCCAATAGTATAATCTTGAAAATAATGAAACAAACTGACATTTTAAAAACACTCCAGTTTTTTGTGGCAATTTTTGTGGCAAATTACTCTAATTGCTTGATCTGAGCTAATGAAGTATTACACCAGATAGCCAAAGCTGTTTTATTAGAGGTCTGACCAAATGTCTGCCTGAATGACATCTGCAGCGTGTGTCCAGATCTGTGAATTTGGCAGACATTTCTAAATTACCACCCAACACAGTTGATGATGAACTGTTTGTAAGAGAAACGTGTGGAATGAACTAGAAAAATTGAATGGTGTTAAAAGTAACCAACTACAGATCTAGCAGTTTTGTTAATCATCTCCTGTTAACATGCTGGAGCTTAATTGTTTCAAACGAACTTTGAATTTGTTTGCACAGCTTACTTTAGCAAATAGTCTCTAGAAATCTGTAATCGTGATCTCATCAGAAAGACTCCAAATGGCAGCAGCTCAGAAGAGCTTAATTAAGGACTTGTTTCTCTTCCCCAGCAGTACCCAAATAGCCAGTTAGAAAGACAAAAGCCTAGTTTAAACTGAATGCTGGCGGCAGCTAAAACCATTGGGGCTGCTCTAGAAAGACTCGGCAAAGCCAGGAAGAAACAGTGCACTGACAAAGCCTGACCTGTTTGCAAGGAAGGAAGGAAACAACTTAGAGAAACAACGAGCAACAGAAAAGAACTGCTGCCTGTGGCTAAACGTGAGGCTTCTGGGCTTGAAACCCAGAGACACGAAGGCCTGGATTCCCTCCTGCTCGGCAGAGAAAAGATGGAGGTGGATGAGAGTCCACAGAGAATGAGGCGTTCTGTGATTAGGAGCAGGAGTATTAACATGTAAATCAGTACAAATTAAGCAAGCCCATAAAGAGTGGGGAGAAGAGTGAAAGTATCTGGTTAGTGACTGTTACAGGGTCCACAGGCTGTAAGGAAATCTAGTATAGTTAAACTGTAGCATTAAATTGGTTTTGTTGAGGAAGAAACCGGGGCAGCTGCTACATTATAACAACTAAGGTATCAGTAACTGCCCTTTCTGCAAAGATTGTTTCCCGGCAGGAAGCACTAACTTCCCTGCAAGAAGCACTAACTTGTCTGCAGCCTCGTGGTTCCAGCCACATTGATGTCTAAAAAAGCAAAAATAAAAATACTCCAGGGAGAAGCAGTTGTGCATGAGCAGCTGCACACTCAAGTCTTCATTTTATAACAAGAAAAACATTTTCTTCCAGCCACATGTAAGTAGAAACCACATCCATTAACTGATCATCTCTGGATGGCACAGGAATAGAGGAGTGCACTAAAAAGTGACTTGTAAGAAGAAATCAATCACTGCCCATGATGTTCAGATCACTAACAAAAAATCAGAGGCTTAATCATACCTTGTAGGTACCTAACACAGCTGGTTTGTGTGTCAGGGGCAAAACAGGCAGCTGTTAAGAAATAACAGTAGTTCCTCTCGTTATTTTTCATAACACTAGCCCCAGCTTTGCAGTGTAGGTGGGACCTCGCACACCTTGGGACCAAAATGGCCTCTTATATTTTTGTCAAATAATGTGTTATAGACGTTGCTTTGATGTCCCAAAACAAAAAAATAAAACAACAACTGGAATCACAGAATCACAGAATATTCACGGTTGAAAGGGACCTTTGAGATCATCGAGTCCACCCACAAAAAAACCCCAAAAAACCAAACCACACAAAAAAACCCTCCAAAACCACCCCACAACACACACACACACAAAAAAAAAAAAAAAAAAAAAAAAAACAAAAAAAACCAAAAAAAAAAAAACAAGGGATGGGAAGGGAAGGGAAGGGAAGGGAAGGGAACTTAATTTTGTGGCAATTTGATTTTACATTATGGGGGGGATAGGGGAGAGGGGAGGAAGCCACACAAAAAAAACTGACCACATTTAAACAAATTTCACCATGCTTTGAAAAAACTTTAGCCACATGTTTCTAGGATCAGCAAATCATATAGCTTTTAGTGCAGAATGTAGATGGAAGTAATTTTTATGTTACCAAGCAGGGGTCACTATCCAGCCACATCTGAGATGCACAGGAACAGGTTACTTGAGTTTCTAAAAAGTCAAGCTCATAAAAGAGTTTTAACAGGTTACATTAGTATCCATCAAACACATTACTTTCTTCTTTTGACAGTTCATCTGTCCTACAAGAAGTACATGAACCAAGTCCAGAATAGAAATTGATTTTGATTAGAAATATTTACAAAATTGTTCATTTTGCAGGGATTACATTGGTGCTGTCCTTAGCTAAATCTATACTAGTATTTACTAATTATTAACAATGCAGATTTTGGTAAATGAAAAACATTTATATTAGAAAAACACTCAAAAACAACCTTTCCCCAATGTAATCTGTTGGGTTTGATTTTGGGTTTTGTTGTTTGATTGTGGTTTTTTTCCTAAAGAAATTATTTGACAAAGCTGCCACTCTTGGAGAAATTTTTTCAGTAGAGTACTGCCATCTCTTCTACACACCAACTTCCCTCTCTCTATATGTGATCCTCGACACCGTAGATGTGATTTTGAATGTTATGTTTGTTCTACTGGAAAATGGCAACGCTGCTCAGAACTCCTAATGCAGCTTCCTTTGAAGTCAGAGTGACATCCTTCTTTTACCATTTAGTGAGAGATAGTTTCAGCTCATCATGGAAAGAAGTTGCTTTTTCTGTTTGCCTCCCATAGCTGGCACAGGAGAACACATGACGAGACAAGCTATCTGGGATGTCTTTGCTGACAGATTTCAGTTTTAAAGGTGACTTGTAGAGGACTATCTTTAATCATCAAGAGACCCTAATAACTGCCTAAATTGTGAAAAGTGATACTTCCATTTTAAGAGAGAAGGTATACACTACATGTCCAGCTGGAGGGAGTGGTAAGAAAAGAAGTGGAAGCTTAATGTACAGAAGGCATGTTTATGTCTAATCCACTAGGAAAATTGCTCAAGAGTACTCCTGTGATGTGAAAATACATCATACTCCCAAGCTTAACAAGACCTAGGTTGATTGCCTGAGTAATATTGTTGGTAGCATAGAACTTTAACTCCAAAATTAAAAAAAAAAAAAAGTCAATTTTTTTTAATTTGCCAGGAGCTCTATTTGAAGTACACAATATGGCTAAAAGGAATCTGCTGGGGATGAATAGGAGAGAGACTGGAAATGTGGAGGGAGAATGTGAAGGCTTTTCATTCTCTAGTGAAGGGTTTGTCTTCTGGCAGTGACCAGCACTTCTGCTTCCACTTAGACCCAGGTCTTTGTGCTCAAGTATAGACTTTCTCCCATCTTTTTGGCACTTGTGTCTGGTGAAGACGTGCCAGGTGAAGAATGGGAGACAGGACTCCCGATGTGTTACTCAAGTGCCCGCATTAGGAGACAGCCCTTCTAAATATTTTTTTAGGAATAATGGGCAAGAAACACGTTTGATGTTGTTGGAGCTCCTGAAATTCACTCTGCCAATCAAACAGTGAGAAATACGGGTGGAGAGCTAGACAGAATGAGATTAATTGTAGGTGAATGTGCCTCACAGACACCTGCACAGGCACACAGAAATAAATGATTTTTTGAAGTAACTGATTAAAGCTGTGCAGCTATCCTGTTTGCCTCATAGAGCAACACATGAAGATATTACTGCAACTACACTGGAATCCACAATCCCAGAACTATCCCCTAAAACTCTAGTTAAAATGTACTGTAGATGAAGATGAAGATTTGCCTTGATCTGTCTAAATATGACTCAGTTACCACAGGCATAAAATATTTAAGAAAGAAATGTAAAAGTGAAGTACAAGGTAACATCACAGTACTTAACAAACCTAGATGTCACTTAGAAATATCTATATTTCCTAGAAATAGATAAGAAGTACTGACACGGCACCTCCTGTTCATAGCTGCTATTGGTGTGGGTCTATAGCCTCACCACACCAAAATTGCACTGAAGTTACACATCTAAAATATCAAAAAGTTCTCTCTTCAGGGCATTCTAATCAAACCTAGTAGGTTCCTTTAATGAAAGTATCTTTGATTTCTTATCTCATCATTTTTAGGCAGACTACACCTGCTTATAATAAAATCTGCAAGTGTCTTAGCAGACCTGAAGTCTTTGTCCAGGAACCTAAAAATAGCACTTGACATGACAGCAAGAGATAAAAAATTTCTCTGAGGCTCTGAGGAGTCTGTAAACATAGTTATGTATCCAATTTTTACTCATATTCACTATTTTATTACGCTTCGTGACTACCAAAGAGTTGCCCTTTGTTTCCAAGTGAACATCATATTTATAACAAAAAAACCCAAACTCCATACAGTCTGTGCTTTTGTTTTTGCTGAATTCATTTCATTGAAGAGCTGTAATCTAAAATCTCCACACCTGAGAAAAATTATAGATGTAGCTTTTGCAAATATAAACACAACTTCTGAAACGCTAATAATTCTATCCTTAAATTTTAGACTATCCCCAACACAATAGTTGAGATACCCATGATCAGTCTGGTAAGGTTCAATTAACTTTTAACCCTCAAAGGCTTAAGTGGTACAGCAGATAGATAACCATTTTCGCTGATCCTCACAGTTTTCAGCAACATCAAGCAGCAGACCTCTCTCTTAGGCAAGAAAAATTAAAGAAAAGGCACCTTCCAATTTGAAAGCACCAAGAGACAATCTGTGCTGTTAGTCATGAACCTATCAATATGTTTGTACAGTTGTTTGAGTAGCCCACTGGGATCTTACACTTACTTTAACTTATTCCTACTTTAATGTTATTCCTACTTTAACTTTCTAGCTACTGTTGCAACACAGCTACATTACCATCAGTACATCATCAGCTTACTTTGCCATGTTTGCCGCACTTTTAGGTATATCATGAGAAGCTGCACCAAGAGACTAAAGACACCCTAAGCTTCTCTGAGGGATTGCTCAGGGAAATGTTTTCAGGGAAAGAATACCATTTTAAGATACAGGACAAACACATATGTTTTGCCAGTAGGGGGGAAAGAGCCAGAGTCAGAGAGGAGAGGTGAGTAAATAAAGAATTAAAAAAAGCAAGTCCATATACAAGCATGTATGAGAGATGCATTGTCCAGAATGTGATGCAGAGAAAACAAATTATCTTCTAGGAGAAGCCTAAAATATTTGAAAATGTTTATTTTGGAAATATTTCAGAAATATTTGTATATTTCTGAAAACATTCTGACATTGACAAATGAATCTAAAGGAAAAGAAGCAAATACCAACCAATGCAGTTAGAAACTTAAAGTAATCTTCTTGAACACGATGTTCTTCAAAGACTTTGAACACTGCTTTTAGTCATTGATTTATTTTCTTAAATTGCCACATATGTAAGGTTTTTTTCAGTCCAGGGAATCCCACTGAAAGGATAGATATGTAGCTGTCTTGAAGATTAAGCATTTTCAGTGATCAAACTCTTTTGAGGGGATTTTGAACATCTTTGCCTTTTATTTTTAACAATTGAGTACATTTCTGAGCCATTCCAGGCAGAAACATCTTGCTCCTGTGGAAGAAATAAGCTGAACTTGACATTAAATAAATGGTTATTTCAACAGTAATCCCAGTTAAAGACCACATGCAGTGACAGATATTGTACAGGAGCAGAGTCAAAACACTATCTCAAAGCACTTCTCCTCTGAATCAGAAATGGGACTTTGTAAGTGAGGAGGGAGGGAAGGGTGGATGGAAGTATAGAAGTAATATAAAAGTTACTCACACAAAAGCTGTCTGTGTGAATCAGTGATGTTTGCATTCTCATGCCAGAAGGGGTTTATCAAAGGGTAACATTCACTCCTCACTAATAGAGAAGGGAAAAAACAATGAGAAAATGTTATTGCAATGTATCCTCTTTTTGTGTGTGTGTGTGTACATATAATTAATATCATATTATCTGCTTTAAAAACTGTCATTCCTAGGCAGGGAAGGAAAGGAGGGGATTTTCAGTACCCAACATTGGCACACTTCTGCTCCCACAGGGCCTGACCACTGAAGTCGAGAGAGCAACACCTTCTCATTTCCAGTGGGGTCCGGGTACAGCAAAGGGGAGAATCCCCCCAACCTGCTCCTCCCCTGCTCCACTGCAAGGAACATCCTTTCCTGCCTGTGATGAATGTTACTCTTTGTTTTTAATGGTGGAATCAAAACCAAAAGGAATATGCCTGGCATACAAATTAAACTAGATGAGGAAATCCTATAATAGCCACACAGTGTTTATGGATCTTTCATTAAAATCCAGAACTGTGAAATACCAAGCAGGATTAGATGCAGTGCCATTACTTGGTGAACTTGGTGGGTCTTTAGTCACTTACCTTTAGTTAGTATGGGATTAAGTTAATTTTGTTTACATTTATATTAGTTACAGAGATATGTTTCAAACTACTAATACATATATTGATATGATCTGTATTATTTATCTGTAAAAACTAAATTGATTAATATTTTTTATTCTTTAAATTATTATTCACCATTTTAATAGCTTTAAAGCAGAACTTTCGCCTCTTAATTCCCCCTGAGTCAAAGGAAAAGACATCTCTTCCCTTCTAAATGGTCAACGCTTATTAAATTAGTTTTGAACTAGAAGTTAATGTAAAATTAGGTTACGGCAGCAGCGAATTCGCTATCCCCATGCCCACAAGAGATGATCGACAACGAACTGCCGGTGGGTCGAGGGCGCCGAAAGGGGAGCGGGCTGGTTTTCTGAAGTAAAGCCAAAAGAAAAAAAAAAAACAAAAAACAAAAAACAAACCAAGCGGCTATCGCGACAGGCGGTCACGGCCCCCCCGCCCAGCAGCCATGGCCACGGCCCGGCGCTGCCCCCTCACTCCCCTCCCGCGCACTCACCGCGGCAGGTCCGCCACAGACCCGAGTGCGAGCTGAGGGCGTCCGTGCCGTTGGGCAACCTCTCCAGCCTGGAGGCATCGATGATGTACCAGAAGTCCGTCGCGATGGCCACCACGAGAAAGACGAAGCTTGAAACGCCCACCAGGGCCACGAAGAGGGAGAGGACGCCCAAGCTCACCTTCATGCCGCCGCCCGCCCGCCCGCCCGCCTCAGGCAGACCCAGCGCTCGCGCTCGCGCCGTCCCCTCAGCGGCCGCGCGACGGGC